CCCTTCCTACCCCAAGGGTCAGTTTGAAAGCTGGGGTAGATTTATGGTGAATTCCCTTGGAGGCGATGTGATTCTAATTAACCATTGTTTTGCAGCTACTGTCGAAATGCTTGACTTTATTTTAGTAGATTTCTTTTCAGCCAGGCTGCAGAGTAAATAATGTTTGACAATCGCATCACTGTGTCTCTGCATCGCTGTTTCCTAAAGCAGCCCAGTCCTCTACTTCACATATCACTGGAACCTTTGATATATAAACTGGGTGCCTGCCTTGCTGTAACACCCAAATACCAGTAAGTATCTCTGGGCTGAATGCTATTCAAAGCAGGGCCTCAGGACCAGTGAAAGGCCGCAAGCTGCCATTTCTGGTCCCTGTGACAAAAATAAGTGCAGAACATGAGAGCAGGTGTTAATAATTTTTTTTAAGTAGAAGATAATTAATTTACAATATCACAAAGGCATCTGCCATACATCAGCATGAATCAGCCATAGACATGCATGTGTCCCCTCACTTCTGGATCTCCTTCCCACCTCCCTCCCCACCCCATCCCTCCAGGTTATCACAGAGCACTCACTGGCTTTGGGTTCCCTGCATCATACATCAAACTCCCACTGGCTATCTATTTTATATATGGTAAATGTATATATGTCCTTGCTAGTAATCTGACAGTATGTGTGACTTTATGTCAGGTGAACCTAACAAACACTTGGGGCCTTGAGGTCTTCTTCAGTTTGGTTTCCTAGGAATTGATCTCCATTGTATTTTGCACAAAATACTGATCTGTGACAAATTGGAGGTCAGGGTCTTTCACCATCAAGAGTTCAAGCTGTGCGGGTTAAGCTATTGTGGTTACATCAAAAAACGCCAGGGTCTTCCCACCCACCTAAGGGGCTCAAGCAGTGATTGATTCAGAAAGATCAGGTCAAGGATGTTGCAGTTTTGTTTTTTTTTTTTTGTCTCTTGTTAACTTTCACTGTTGCTCCCACAAGCGTTTCCTTCTGAACATCTCTTCCACTGTGTTAAGAGAAGCAGGCTCCTGTGAAGGTGAATTTTGCTGTGTCTCCTGCAGATGGGGTGCTGAGATGCTGTGTGCAGGTGCCAGCAGACTCCCTGAGGACACTTTCAGCCACGCACCAGCCGGCACTGGGCTGCTCCTTGCATCCTGCCTCTGGGCCAGTCCCTCTGGCCTGGGGTGCCTGTTCCTCCACCTGCTGGGGAGGGATTATGCTTGCTGAGCTAATGTCTGGGAAGTGTTCTGGAGTTCCCTGGAGGAAAAGGAGAGGCTGCCTGATTGTGATACTCTGTGCTAGGACAGGAGAGCTGCAAGAAGGAGGGGAGGAACCCGGAAAAGAAAATCAAGAGTTGAATCATCTCTCTATTTCAGTCCCTGGGGTTAACCTGCTCTAGTGGTTTTGAACTGTTTTCCAAAGTGGGAATCTTGTGATGTGAGGGGGAGAAGGAAGCCGGTTGCCTTCACACTACCCGGAACTTTCCCTAGGATATCCACAAGGCTCACACTTGCTGTTCCTCCTTTTTCAAGTCTTGGTTTGAATGTGGCCTGCCTTGTGACACCTGCCATGGTCTTTCCCCGGCGCATGCTGTTCCCTTGGCCTGCTGTGTTTGTTTCACATAGCACTCATCATTTAACTCATCAGTCACTATTCGTTTTGTTGTAATATAATACAATTAATATAATGTCATCTATTAAAATGTAAGTTTACAGGAACAAGGGGTTGTGGACTAAAAAATTCATCACAACTTTGAAAGTAGAGAGTTATTTGATTTGATGGGAATGTTAAGGATTCTGAGCCTGGGAGGCAGCATCTCAATAGCTCTGAGAAAGCTGCTCCAAGGAGGCAGGAAAGACTCAGGCTATATACAAGTTTGCAATAAAGGGGCCAGGCAGTCAGTGTGAGCATCAAAGATTATTGTTAAGTAGTTAGGAAAACCAGATATCAAGCTAAGGAATTTAGTGTTGTTCTATGTATGGGAAGATGCAAGCCTCGGGGCTCACTGAATTCATTCCTTTCATATGCACCTCAACTATCTGGGGCCAAAATGTTTACATCATTAATTCCTTGTTCACCCTAGGGGGTGGCAGGTGTGGCGGAGGGCTGCTTTTTGCAGCCCCCTGCCCCCAGCTCCTCAGCAATCGCCATTGGGGGGTGGCGGCATCTGCTGGATCGCTGGCATCATGTTCCCTTTTGGGAGCCCTCATTCACATTAGGAAGCCAGAAATCATGGATGGCTGTGACATTTCTTGCCCACCGATATGGCAGGAAATATTTCATTTCACAAGACTTTGTATTGCTCACTGTTGTATCTCCAGAGTCTAAAACTTGTGCCTGACACATAGTGGGCACTCCCTAAATATCTGTTGTCTAACTGAATGGGTGACTGAGCGCAGAGGCAGGATGACAAAGCAGACAGCTGTATCCAAGGAGCTTTTCTGCCAATCTGCTGAACTGTCCACTGAGTGAGTGAGCTGGAGCCACTGGAAGGGCAGAGTCAGAGATGACCAGCCTTTAACCAGTGCCTACTATACATCAAGCACTGTGGAAGATGTCCTAGGTTCATTATTCAATGAAAGTATCCATTTAACACATGAAGTACCTATGGTTAGCTCCATTTCATGGGTAACTCAAGAAGTTAAGAAACTTACTCAAGGTCACCCAGTCCAGTAAGTGGCAGAACTGGAACCTAACTTAGTCTATGATTCCTTCTGGAGAAATTTCCCAAAGTAGTCTGTTGACCACAGTATCTCTTGTTCATTTGCTCTCCTGCCTGTAAAATGAGGGTGAATTTTCCTTATCCTTCACCAGATTTTTATCTGATAAGGACAGGAATCTGGGAAAATCGGAAAACAACTATTACAAGATATGAGCTTTGCAAATATGGGGTTAAGAATTAAATCATGTTTTTGAGTAATGTTCACAAATAAGCGAGTGGAAATCAGGGCTGGGTTGAATCCTGCCAAGTGGGGATGAATGGGATTTCTATGCAACATTACATTCCATGAACTAGTTTCAGTATTTTATTATTCCAGATATTTCTCTAGGCTAAGACCACAATCTTCAGACTCAACGTATTTTCTTTAATTTAAGAAATACTTATGGAGCATCCACTAGATTCTTGAGGTAGACCAGTAGAGAGAACAAAGTTCCTTGCCCTTAATGGAACTTCTCTCTTATTAGGGAGAGAGAGACAGGAATAAACACTGAGCAATAAACATATGCCAACATATGGCAATAAAGAAGAAAGTAAATTACATAGTATGTTAAGAGATGGCAGGTGCTCTGGAAATAAAAAGTAGTGCAGGGGAAAGGGCTTGGGCATTCAGGGGAGGTGGGCAGTTTGCACCATTAGATAGTGGTCCGCGTGGGCCCTTTGAAATGATGCACTTTGAACAAAGACCTTCCAAAGGTCAGGGAGTGAGCCAAGAGGTATCTGGGAGGGAATTCTAGTCCAAGAGGACCGACAGAGGGAGCGATGCTGAGACGGGTCCTGCCTGCACTATGTGGGGAGCAGCCAGAAAGTGGGCTTGCGAGCAGCTGAGTGGGGGCCTACCTTGAGAGTAGAGATGCTGGATATCCCAATGGCTGGAACATGGGACATGAAGTAAAGTGAGGAGTCAAGGATGAGCCAAGGTTTAGTCTTTATATTAGTCTTTCACTTTCATTCCCCTTTGATTACCTAATATAACTGAGTATTCCTGGAAGTATTAGCATTGAAGTCTTTGGAGATTTAACCAACTGCATTTGCCCTCATCCACAATGTCTCTGGATTTGAGTTTCTTCAGCAGGAAGAAACTCACAGGGCAGGAATTGAAAAGATGACCCTCAAACCCCTTGTATGACTGTTTCTGAAAAACGCCTCTTCAGAAGTCATACTCTGATTGCTGGCTTGCTTGCGTCCCTCCTTCCTTTGTTCATGTATTCATCGGGAGTCTTTAAAAACATTTGCTGAAATGAGCGCACTTCCTGGAGCAGTGTCCTCGAAGGCTTAGGAAGGAGGAAAAGGAATCTCTACCTTTGACTAGTTTGTTTCTTCTTGCTGGGGTTAGATAGGAGCACAGTAAGCAAGGTGAGAATTAGAACAAATGAGCAAAATTGGAATAGTTTAGAAACAGCAGCCATGGGAGGTCAAGTTGAACAAAAAGTTACAGGCTTGAGTAGATGAAAGCATGCACATAGTGTGGGAACAGATGTAAATTCAGGTTCAGGGAACCTGAGAAGGGTGGGAGCATGGTAAAGGATGCTCAAGCGGTCTAGAGGAACCGGCTGTGATGTGTTGATGAAGCTGGACTGAGGGAGGGGAGAACTGCCCATGTGGGCTAGCAGGATCTGGTCTGAGCAGGGGGAGATCTTAAGGAAGCGATGCCATTACAAAGACTGGACTGGAAGGTGCTCATCCTGGCTGTTTGGTACTCTGGGGACTAGAACAGGGGGATAAGGAGGTGAGCAAAGCAGCCCAGGAGGTTGTTGCATTACCCTGGATCCTGATTTCTGCAGTCATGATACCTCACTGGTCTCTTGTCTGACAGATTTTTTTTGGATCAAAATTCTGGTCATTAAGGTGGCAAAGAAAAGTTCATTAAACATGATATATTTGAAGGAAAAAACTATCCAAACAAGGAAATGAAACTTTTCCTTTCTTGTTGGCCCAAAGTTAGCATTGAACTCTAGGACTGCTTGTAAGAGTTTTCATGAGGAGCTCTTTTAAAAAAAATGTCAAGTAAGACCAAGTCCTCCATCACTTGTCTGTGAGCCATTCTGGAAACAAAGAACATCCCCAAATTGAGGTTCATGGCCAATTTTATTTCCCTCCATGCGGTTGTAGTGGCGTGATTTTCACACTTGCTGTATTCGTACATGTGTTTGCTCTAAAGGGCTTTGTGTGCTTCAGCTGGGCTTGGATGCTGACTGCAATAAGCCTAATAAAACCTCACATTTCTCCACTCCTCCATTTCTGATTATATTTCATAATGTGTTGATATTTGCAGGCTAATCTTGCACAACTATTGAGAGATTCTCAGGACCGAAATAAACATCTGGGAGAAGAAATTAAAGAACTTCAGCAAAGGCTTGGAGAAGTCCAGGGCGACAATAAGGTATTGTGAATATTTAAAGGCAAGAGGCTCTCCTGAGTAATTTTGTGCCATAGGTTCATGTATGGTGCATCAGAAAAATGTAGTACAGCATTTGTGTAAAAAATTTGTTATAGATTTTTACATTTACAATGGAAGCTCAGTTTAGCATTTCTTATCTTTATTACATTCACTTTGCATGTGTGCGTGCACATGCGTCTGTGTGTGTTTCTGGGTTGCTCTAAAATATTGTCACAACCCATTGTAGAAGTTTCATTATGTTCAGCTTGGTGCTGAATAACATTGTGGTTGAGGGCAAAATAAAACCCAAATGCTATACTTTCTCCCTTCTATACAAATAATGGATTTGTGGCTCAGATGATTTGGAATTATTCACATTCGGTTTTGAATTTTAAGTAGTCATCCTACTAATTATGTTCACATAACCAATTTATTTTATTGCTAAATTTGGCAATTTGTATGGAACATTGCTCAAAATCCACTGCTTGGTATTAATCAAACTCCCCTGTTGGCAACGTTAATTATAAAATATGAACTCATAAACTCCAAACTAAATGTGAACACTCTCTCTCCCAGCTGAAGCTGTGAACAAAAGTACAATTGAGAAAAAGAAGAAAAACTACCCAAGTTTAATTCTGTCCCCCCCCCCCAAATAATTTCCTGTTTTGCCAAGATAACTTCAATTTTAACTTCTTGCCAGAGGGAGCTTTCACAACAGGGATGGCCTTTGGAGTTTGACTCAAGAAAACTACATGGAAGGAGGAGGTGCTTTCTTGGGAAATGTCTTTTACATGGTACCAAATTCCCTGACAAATGATGGGCATGTTCGGCGTCCCTGGGAGTCCTTGGTTATCAGGAGGCACCATTTTGAAAGATGCTCATTCTTTTTTTCTAAAAATGCATGGAAGTGTCTGGATCATCCCGAGAACCCTTCCATGACAAAAGAGGGTTGTGTGCTTACTGCTGGCTGAAGGGGCTCAACCTAAGGGCATACTGGGGACTCTTCTCTATACAGCTTCTTCTCCACTTAGTCTGCCTTTAAAATTTTTTAAAAACCTCTTAAGTTTAACATACTATATTTGCAAAAGTAGGCTCTACTATTCTCAGTCATGAAACAGGAGGTGGACAAGAATGCCAAGAAAGGTACTGATTAACGCTGGACAAGCTAATCAGGCCTTCCAAAATGATTTAAGCTCTGTAACCTCGGTATTTGGTCAAAAATTAAAGGCCAGGCCTTCTTAGTCACTCCCACAAGTGATAACATCAGAGTAAGTTTTTCCAGAGAGTAAAATCAGGGATGTACCATTCTGTCTTTTAAATATGTAAAAATACTGCAGGAATTTTTAGATGAAATGGGGCTTCCTTGATGGCTCAGACAGTAAAGAATCTACCTGCAATGCAGGAGACTTGGGTTAGATCCCTGGCTTGGGAAGAAGCCCTGCAGAAAGAAATGGCAACCCACTCCAGTATTCTTGCCTGGAGAATGCCATGGACAGAGGAGCCTCGTGGGCTGCAGTCCATGGGGTCACAAAGAACTGGACATGACTAAGTGACTAATACACTTGGAAGTGATATAAATCCACAAAATACTAAAACATTTTGAAATGTGATGTTTGGATTCATGGTTCTTCTTGACTGATTTTTTTTCTTCTTTTTTTTTATTTTCTGGGCTACCCCCAACTCCCCTAAACACACCTCTGTCTCACCTTTTGGTCACTTACAATTGTATCACTTTGTAGGCATGAGATATTCTAGGCATTGGCATTTGCAACTGATATTTCAAGGAAAGAAAGGGAGGGTGTGTGCACTTAAGTGTGTGTGTGAGTGTGTGTGGAACACTAAATGCAGGTCTGAGGCTGCTTTTGCATTGGCACCATCTGAACTTCATGATTTGCCTGCATTCTGGGTCTTTATTCCAGTAGCTGGACACATTTATCAAACTTGCTTTTCTCAACCAAGGTTTAGAATTTAGTGACTCATTTTCATGGCCTGTGAAGTACTTTGCCTGCCAAGAGGCGCAGGGAAGATGTTATAATGTTCAGTAGACCCTGTATCTCAGTATCCAGCCCTCTCCTCCTCAAAAAAGACCAGCTACAGTGAGCCCCAGAAATTCCATTTATTCTCATTTGCATCTAAAGTAATAGGGCTGGTTTATTTTCAGCCCCCTGTGAGTCATGTTCATCCTCCCCCCTACCCTCACCCCCAGTCATCAACATTAAGGCCAGATGACTCATTCAGTAATGACACCAGGCATCATGAGAAACTCAGAGGCCTCTGTTGAAGAGTGGCCATGACTGTGTGGTAGCAAATGAGTTAACCCCACCTTTGCTTTTTATTCACTGTGTCACTCACAGCTCCAACCTTCCCATCACCTTCTGAATCCAGTCCCACCTCCCTGCCTTGGTGTGCTAGATCCCTATTATCTAGCCCCTCCCTCGTAATTTCTCCAGCCGCATCTCTTGCCATTAGTCCCTCATACCTCCACCCTGCAGTGCTCATTTCAGCCTCTTTCTGGAGCCATACTGCCTTGTGCCTCGGGGCCTTTGCACCTGCTGTCACAGTCTGGAGCACTCTTCCCCCTTACTCCTGCAAACGCCTGCTCATCTTTCGGGCCATAGGTCGGGGCATTTCTGCACACACCAGCAGTGTCCTACTCTTCGCCCTCTGCTTCTACTTTCGTGGCTCTCCTCCCATAAGCGTAAACCCTTCGCGGGCCAAATCCCTGGTATCCGTAGGAATTAGCATTCTTAGTTTGTGATGCATATATGTTATTTAATAGATCTTTTAAAATTTTTAACTGGAGGATAATTGCTTTACAATGTTGTGTTGGTTTCTGCCAAACAACAATGTGAGTCAGCTATAAGTCTACATATATATCCCCTCCGTCTTGAACCTCCTTCCGTCTCATACTCTATCGCACCCCCCTAGGTTGTCATGGAGCACTGGGTTGGGCTCCCTGTGTTACAGCAACTTCCCACTAGCTATCTGTTTTACACATGGTAACATATATGTTTTGATGTTAGTCTCTCAATTCATCTACCCTCTCCTTCATCCATTGTTCTCTATCTGTGTCTCTATTCCTACCCTGCAAATAGTTTGATCAGTACCATTTTTCTAGATTCCATATATATTTGTTCTCTTTGACTTACTTCACTCTGTGTAACAGGCTGTAGGTTCATCCACCTTAGTTCAACCGATTCAAATCCATTCCTTTTTTATGGCTGAGTAATATTCCATTTATATCTGTACCACAACTTCTTTATCCACTCATCTATTGATGGACATCTAGGTTGCTTCCATGTCCTGGCTATTGTAAATAGTGTTGTGGTGAACGTTGAGAGACGTGTGTCTTTTTGAATTCTGGTTTTTCTCAGGGTATATGCCCAGTAGTGGGATTGCTGGGTCATATGGTAGTTTTACCCCTAATTTTTTAAGGAATCTCCATGCTGTTCTCCATAGTGGCTGTATCTGTTTAATAACAGATCTTTATTGGAGCAGTGGAATAGGATAAATGAATGAGTGAATGAATAAAGGAAATGTAAAAAGAAGAGCAAAAATGTTCAAGAAAGAGGAAGAGAAAAAGAAAAAGAGCACAAGAAAATAGCAGACTGCCCCTCTGGTTGTCATCACTAACTTGCTTTGTGTGGTGAAGACTAATTTAGAAATCTGGAGAAAGGAGTTAGAAAGCAAACCATTCCATTCAAGAAAAACCAGAAGGAAACCAAACCTAAGCTGTGAGACCTTGGGAAACCCCTGGCGTGGGGGTGGAGGGTGGGGCTGGTCAGGGAGAGCTGTGGCTGAGCCTAAGTAGATGTGGGATAAGACTCCTGTTCCTAGACTGGCTCAAGGCTCTTAAATTCAAGAAATAATAATTGATGTCTTTTCATTCCTGACTTCCCTTATTCTGAACAGAAGGGCTGATGGCATCATTTTAGAAGCAACTATTAAAGTGGAAGTTTTTAATAAAATAAATAAAGTGGAAGTTTTTTCTGTTGGTTTTTTTTTTTTTATCTTCAAGTTGCCATTTTAACTGATGACCCTTAGCCATATTTTGGGAGGCCCAGATTCTAGATGTTAAGTACATTTAAGAAACAAGGTGATAGAAAATTACTTGCCTTGGCTATTTTAAGGTAGACTAATTTTTCCATTTGTTCAGCTAGAGCCTTGTAACCCTACGTGCCATAAAGCATTTTCAAACAGCCTCTTGAAAGATTTGTTGCCACCCTGACTTACAACCAGCTTGGTACTCACACAGGGTTGGCAGGTGGATAGTGGGCTTCTGTGAGCATCGCCCAACAATTTCTTGAGGCTCCCAGACAGATGGAATGCCCCAGTCCAAACCAGATGAGAGGTAGGAAAAGGGAGGCCTAGTGGATGTCCTCCCCTACTTGATAATTATACCGCTGAAAGGTTAAAGAAGGAATGGAGGCCTTCAGTCAGGTCAGTCGCTCAGTCGTTTCGGACCCTTTGCAACCCCATGAATTGCAGCACACCAGGCCTCCCTGTCCATCACCAACTCCCGGAGTTTACTCAGATTCATGTCCATCCAGTCAGTGATGCCATCCAGCCATCTCATCCTCTGTCGTCCCCTTCTCCTCCTGCCCCCAATCCCTCCCAGCATCAGGGTCTTTTCCAATGAGTCAACTCTTCGCATGAGGTGGCCAAAGTATTGGAGTTTCAGCTTCAGCATCAGTCCTTCCAATGAACACCCAGGACTGATCTCCTTTAGGATGGACTGGTTGGATCTCCTTGCAGTCCAAGGGACTCTCAAGAGTCTTCTCCAACACC